TGCCGGACCTTCTGTCTCTGGTGGCCTCCCACATTCTGGGGGCAGAGACTGTATATTCTTCATGAGGGGCTGTGGCTTACGGTACTCAACGGGACAGCAGAGAGAGGAGAACAAGCTAAGCGATGAGGGCCAACATGCCACATCAGACCCAATCAACTTTGGGGCTTTGACAGGGTCAAGGGAGAGGCTGGAGGGGAAGAGCCAGGAGGACGTGGGGGCAGTGATTACGGCAGAACCTCCGTGTGTGTGCAGAGGCTGAGGAAGCAGCAGCCCGCTCCTTCTCCCATAGTTCTCTGACGTCTGGCTCCCTCGCACTTGAGTGCGTCTTTGCTCATGCACGCCCCCCTCTTGAGACGCCTGCTCCTCCTTTACTAACTTGGTCGACTCCTGCTGGTTCTTCAAGACCGGCCTTGGCATCATCTCCTTGAGGAAGCCTTCCTAATCCCCCTAGGCTGGTCTTGGCACATTGTTCGGACTCCCTTGTCCTCATGCTTCCCTCCTGGGTCCCATTGGGTGGTACTTGTCTGAGAGCCTGTCTTCTGCAGGTGCCTGGACCTCCTTGAGGGCGGGGGGGGTGGGTGTCTCATATGCTTGGCCGCTGCAGAGCCCATCCAGGGCTGGGTGCAGAGGAGGCCACTTCCCTTTGGGCCCAGCCTGCTCCTTGGGAAGAGGTCCCGAAACCCCACTTGGAAATACACATAAATGAGCTGGAACTTGGCTCTGGAGGCATGCCGGGGTAGGGTCCTGGAGTGGGGAAGTCTGGCAAGCTTCTGTTCTGTGTGTGGAAACAGCTATGAGTCCCCATGGGCTCCGAGCACATGTACACATGGGGGTGGTCCAGGAGCTCCAAAGCGTAGGGAATCCTACTACCACCAAAGCCTCCACTCCCCAGAAGTTTCCATGATCCATCTCTTTGTCCCAGACTGAAATGCAGGTCATGTGGGATCTGACATCCACTCCAAAGTGAGGTTTCTGTCTTTCACTGGTTTTGAAATTCCAATTTTTATTAAGCCGGTAAAGGAGAATTAAAGGCAGGCGATTTAATCTTGCAAAACAAAGCCACAGAAATTGCTGGAGGGCCTTTCCTTGGTTTTGGCAAAATCAAGCCAGATTGCACTACCCGGGGGGAGGGCTGCTTCCTGAGGTGGCATTTGAGGCTCACAGCCCCAAATCTTGGCCAGGCTACTTTTCTTGGCACCAGAAGCCTCCGCGATTTAGCATTTTCCCAGGAAATTCAGGTCCTCCTCCCGCTCATGATGACCATTCCAGATGCGGAAGGCGGCTTGAGGTGTGAGAGGCGGCAGGGGTGAGTGGACACCCAGCATGGGCCCCTCAAACGCCTGCTGCGGGTGGCACTCTGTGCATTGGAGACCAGTTTTCCCTGTGGGAAGGATCCAGCAGTTTAAAGAAGCAGCCTTCTAGGAGGAGCTTTAAACTATGAGCAAATCAAAAGTTCGGAAGTGCTCTGAATCTCTGCGTTTTATGTGTCTACTGCATTGGGGGTTCAGAACTCTGCTCGTGGGCTCTGAGTCTGGGGCCCAAACCTGCAAAAAATGGTGCTCGGTGGTGGCTGTCTGGCCAGAGCTTTCATAACAATGACACCAACCCTTACCCTTAAAATCTGTGCTATCAGGAACACCGGGAAAGTGCAGAGACCAAGCATCACAGGATCCTGCTCACAGGCAGGAAAGGACAGGCGCTGAGTGTGGTAAGTGACCCGCCACGTGGATGATTCATTGATCTGCCCACTAACACCTCCCTGAAATTTATATTGTTGGAAAACAGTCCACACTGCTGACAGTGCAGCATGTTATTTTTAACAAAGAGTATTTCTGTTAAAAGATATAAAGATGGGAACACGAAATGAACAAAACCTAGAAGGTGAATTTGAATGCTTTTTGTTTTGTATTGTAGCCAAGGTATGGAAAATATTTTATTCAACTAAATATGGTCAGATATGGTAAACGGTCACCATCAATCATAAACCTTATCTTAAGATAACTATTTGAAAGAAAACTGGATATCCACATGAAGTTGGTCTCTGGATGCCTACCTTACACAGTATATAAAAATTACCTCAAAATGGATTAAAGATCTAAATGTAAGAACTAAACCTATACAACTCTTAGAAGATAAACTTCATGACATTGGATTTGGCGATAACTTCTTGGATGTAACACTAAAAGCACAGGCAACAAAAGTAAAAATAGGTACATTGGACTAGATCAAAATTTTAAATTTCTGTGCATTCAAGGACACAACAGAGAGAAAAGGCAGCCCATGGAATGGGAGAAAGTATTTGTATATCCCATATCTGATAAGGGGTTAATATCCAGAATATGTAAAGAACTGCTATAACTTAATAACAGAAAAACAAAGAACCCAGTTAAAACATGGGCAAAGGACTTAAAGGAGACATTTCTCCAAAGACGATATACAAATGGCCAACAGCACATTAAAAGATATTTAACATCAGTAATCATTAAGGAAGTGCAAATCAAATCCACCGTGAGATATCCCCTCACACCCATTAGGATAGCTACTATAAAATAAAATAAAATAACACCCACAACACAACAACAGAAAATAACAAGTGTTGGCAAGGATGTGAAGAAACCGGAACCCTTCTGCACTGTTGGTAGGAATGTAAAATGGTGTGGCCACTATTGAAAACGGTAGGGCAGATCCTCAAAATATTAAACACAGAATTAACGTATCCAGAAATTTCACTGCTGGGTATATATCCAAAAGAACTAGAAGCAAGGTATCAAACAGGTATTTATACACCGTATTCCCAGTAGCATTATTCACAATAGCCTAAAGTGGAAGCAACCCGAATGTCCATGGACAGATTAATGGATAAACAAAATGTGTTATATACGTACAATGGACTATTATTCAGTCTCAAAAATGAATGAATTCTGACACATACTACGACATGGGTGAACCGTAAAGACATTACGTTAAGTGACATATGCCGATCACAAAAGGACAAATACTGTATGATTCCATTTATATGAGGTATCTAGAATAGTCCAACCCACAGAAACAAGTAGAATGGTGGTTGCCAGGGGCTGGAGGGAGGGCGAAACGGAGAGCTGTTGTTTAATGGGTTTAAAGTTTCAGTTTTGCAAGATGAAAAGGTTCTGAAGATTGTACAACACGTGAATATACTTAACACTACTGAACTGTACATTTAAAATGGCTAAAATGGAAAACTGTGTTATGTGCATTTGACCACAAGTTAAAGAAAGATAACTATTTGCAGAGGAACAGTTTAGGTTTTTTTTTCCTCCATCCTCCTGCTGTCAGATCTACATGGAGTACTTCTAGGCACCTAAATTGCCACACAGAGGTATTTTACATGGTATGTTAAAAATCTGCCTTTGAAGACATGCTAATTTCAGAATACATTTTATTCCTAAACTTTAGTTAAAGTATTTATGCTAGGCTTTTACCTCACTTAATTAAAAACAAAACCCCCATGTTTGATGTGTGTTGTGCTGTGTTTGGGGCCATCTTTCCTGGCCAGCTGCATTCTTTAAATAAGATCAAGCTGTGTTTCTTCAATATGGGTTCTTGACTGAAAGAGAAAGAAGCCCTTGGCAAAGCCTTTTGACCAGGTGAAAGCGGATCCCGGTCCAAGTGTTGGATGAAGACACTGGCTAGAGGGCCAGGGAGGTTGGGCAGGCATGATTATCCCCATTCTACAGATGAGGACAGTGAGGCCCAGAGAGGAAAAGCAACTTGCCACAAAGTATGTCCATGGCAGAGTCAAGGCTGGGCTCCCAGTGAGGGCTCCCTCCCTGCCCTCCAGCCCACAGCTGCTCTGGATGCTGTGGGTGAAGCGGGAGGGGAGAGCACACAGGCCAGGATGCAAGACGCCTCCGCCTCTGCCTTCCCCAAGCCTCTCCTCCCCAGGCAGCCTAAGGGACAGCCCTTAGCTCAGTGGGAAAAAAGGAAGTAAAAGCACAAGGTAATTGCTGGGCTTGCTGGCACTGGCTCTACGTGGCCTGACTACCGCACCCCAAGGGGAGAGCCCAGAAGGCCTCAGAATTCCCAGGCACCATGTCTCCGGGGCCTGCCCCAGGCATTGGTCAGGGCTCCATTATTGGATTTAGCATAAAGTAAAACTGACATATATTAAGAACACAGAACAATAATGAAATTGGGCTTAGCAATGACCCCTGGCATAGGGGAGGGAGCATGGGCAGAATGCTCACCATCTCTGCCTCTGGAGCAGGTGGAGGTCACCCCCCGGGCCACGCTGGCCAGCCCCACCTGCGCAAGGAGGCCCCACCAGTGCTCTGGGAGGGAGCGCAGCAGGAATAAGCAGCCAGGGCTGTCCCTCATAGCCATTTGCTTCACCCAGCCCAGCCCAGCCATCAGAAGCTGAGGACCAAAGGCCCAGAGAGGGGAAAGGGCTTGCCCCTTGGCAGCGCAGGAGTTGAGGGCAATGGTCTGAAGATCAGACCTGGGTTTGAGAGGCAGCTCCGTGCCCTTCTACGTGGGTGATCTTGAGTGAGTTACTTAATTGTGCCTCTGCTCTCTCATTTGTGAAACAGAGTTAACAGTGGAACCTCTCCCACAGGTGTGGTGAGGATTAAATAAGAGTTCATATAAGGGCTTAGCACAGGACACAGGAGAGAGTTAGGACTCACTCAACGCTCATTTCATTATTGTTTTAAAATTCAAATGCACCGTCACTGTCTTTGTTACCATTCTTATTAGCCAAGGGCATAGAGCAAAGCGTGGGAGAGCCCTTCCAGCAGCTGGGCAGCTGACGCCACCTTCCTCCGCCAGGTGCCACCCCACCTATCATCGCTTCCACCTGGCCAGCTCCTAGTCATTCTGCACAAGTCAGCACAGGGTCCCCTCCTCCAGAGTGCTTCCCGGTGCACCCCACCCCTGGCAGTTTAGGTGCCCCTCCTGGGTTCATATACTGGGCATCCCCCCATCACAGCACCATCTCTACAGGTGACAGCTAATTTTTTTCTTACCTGACGGCTCAGTGGGGACAGGGAACGCTGTCCTGATGATCATGGTAACGACCGCTGGATCCCTACCCTGAGCGCTTAGTGAGCACGAAGTGCGCGCCTGGGCCGAGCGCGGTGCGTGCCTTTCCTCCAAGAGGGCCCCTCCTTGGAGAGGATCATGGCTACTCCATCTTACAGGTAAGGAAGCAGACCTGGCCTCTCACCCACGCTGTGCTGCGTACGAAGTTTGTCCCCGGGCAGGGACATGTCTGTCCCAGCACCTGCCCTTATAACAAACCGCCGCTCTGCGGGGCCTCACCCTCTGGCTTCCTGCTCTGTCTCCACGGTTGGAGTTGGTGTCCTCTGGTGAGATTTGCTGTAGATTCACCTTAGGCCATTTCAGGGCATTCTGAGTCAGAGAAACAAGGACCCTGTCGCCCTCCCTCCCCAGCAGTCCCATGAATGGCTCCCCCAGACTTTCACCGTCCGCCCCTTTCCGCCTGGAAGAGCAGGCCACCGGGTTGAGGGATGCTGCCACCTGGTGGCCACAGGCTATCAGGACACGCGGGGATGTCCTGATGGGGATGGGCGTGGTAAGCGGCCACACCGGCTTGGCAGGCTGGAAGCAGCGCCCTCTCTGCTGAGCGCACTGCCAGCCAGCCAGCGGAGCACACGTTTGGAGAAGATGGGGCAGCTGGACCGCACAGAACACCACCCATGAGGCACGACAGCTTCATGTTTAGGCCCAGGAGTACAACAGACTGGGCCCAAATCCTGGTTCGGACATTTCCCAGACATGTGATCTTAATTAGTCGAGTGATTGCTGGGAGCCTCCGCTTCCTTTCCTGTCTACTGAGTAGCCTTCTCCTCCTGGGTTAGGGCCACCTGCCCCAGCCAGAACGTGGAGATTCTTTCTAGAGCATCCGTTTTACTTCATTATCATTTAAAAATGGAATTTCTATCGAACTCATGCAAATTATGTATTCAGCTCCAGAATAATGTTTGTCTTAAGCAAAACCTGAAGGCTTCTGAGAATCTGGGGTTTGTGCAAGCTGTCAGTGGGCTCTGCCAGCCCCTCTCCCCAGGATGCATCTGCACTCGACTCTGGTGTTCTACCTACCAACCCTCCCCACGTGCTTGGCACTTTGCACGTGTTTCATTTAGCCCTCACACAGCAACAAATTATCCTCATTTTACAGAGCAGAAATCAGGTTCAGAGAGGCTGAGTAACTTGTCTGAGGGCACACAGTTGCTACAAAAGAAGGAGCCAAGCCTCAGACCCGAGTCTATCTAACAGTAGAGTCCTCGTCTGCCCACCATTGTAGGAGCCCCAGAAGCTGTCCTTCTGTCCCTGAGTTCTCGAAGGAGCACGACTGGGGGCGTTTGCTCACTGATGTACACTCCCCAGCGTCCTGACACCAGCCAAAGGAGGCCGTCCTAGCCAAGGGCGCCGAGCAGAGAGAAGCCAGCACCTCACTCCCCCTGCTCTCACCTCCCCTGGCTCTCCCCCTGCCCCTGGGGAAAGGCCAGACAGTTACCAGCCCGCCTTCCTGCTGGCCCTTGGGAGATGCAGCTGGGCAGTTCTTCCTCTTGTCAGATAAGTTCCCTGGCTGTTTCAGTTCCCTCTCTTGCTGGGAACTTCTGGGAACTGAGTTATGAGGGAACTCAGGGACCACAAACACATCTCTTCCGCCCACCCGCTCTCCCGGGCCAGGGCTGGGAGTGGGGACACAGCCTTCCTCTCACTGAGGCCTGGTTCCAGGGGGCAGTGAGGAGGGATGTCCCATGCCCCAGCGAGGCATGGAGAGGGGATAGAGGGGATAGGACTTACCCAAGGTCATACACCTAGGGGCAACAAAGCCCCTGCCAGGCTTCTGCCTGAGGCCCACTGCCCTTCTCTGCAGATGGGAGGAAATACCTGAGCATCACCTAGAAGGGAAGGTAGTGTGTGTGAGGGGCCCTGGGGAAGACCATGGTTCCGAGACATGCAGCTGGCCGGCAGTCTGGGCTAGGCAGACCCATGGGCCGAGAGGAAGGTCTCTGGAACGTGGCCAGCCACCTTCCACTCAGCAGGCTCAGCCCTGGTGTGTTTGCAGACCTTAAAGCTCCTCAGAGTGGCCATTTGGACTTCTGGTTATCCATCCGTCCATCAGGGAGGTGAAGCTGTCTGTGCTGAGCGGGGGTATGGTGCCGGCAAGAGCCCTGAGATCTAGCCTGCCTGCCTGCCCCAGGCCCCTCCCCCTCATAAGCCAACCAGCGCGCCTGAGATGCTGCCATTGGAACCACGGCGTGCAGGGAGGATGCCACGTGACGACGAAAGCAGAGATCAGGGTGAGGCCTCTACACGCCGAGCAATGCCAGAGATTGCCAGCAAACCTCCCGCAGCTAGGCGAGAAGCCTGGAACAGGTTCTCTTTCAGAAGGAACGAATCCTACCGAAACAGTCTTGGACTTCTAGTCCCCAGGACTTTGAGACCATACATGTCTGTTTATTTAAGCGACCCCATTTGTGGTACTTTGTTATGGCAGCCCCAGTAAATGAATACACCAGTCAATACCTCTCTGCAGAGATCATTCAATACTCTGACCTCTATGACCATAGGCTAGTTTTATCTGTTCTTGCATTTCATGTAATTGGAATCACACAGTCTATATCATTTGTGCCTGGTTTCTTTTGCTGTCCATAATGGTCATGAGATTCATCTCCATTGTTTTGTGTACCATTGGTCCATTCTCTTTTTTACTGCTGTGTAGTGTTTCACTGTATACGTATTATACAAATTTTTATCCATTTTTCTTAATGGACATTTGGGTTGTTTCTAGTTTGGGGTTAATAGGATAAAACATCTGTGAACATTCTTTTTTTAAATTTTATTTATTTTTTTATACAGCAGGTTCTTATTAGTTATCCATTTTATACACATCAGTGTATACATGTCAATCCCAATCACCCAATTCAGCACACCACCATCCCCCCACCGCGGTTTTCCACCCTTGGTGTCCATACATTTGTTCTCTACATCTGTGTCTCAACTTCTGCCCTGCAAACCGGTTCATCTGTACCATTTTTCTAGGTTCCACATACATGCGTTAGTATACAATATTTGTTTTTCTCTTTCTGACTTACTTCACTCTGTATGACAGTCTCTAGATCTATCCACGTCTGTGAACATTCTTGTACAGGTCTTTTTGTGGACGTACATAGTGAGATTGTTTCTGTTGGTTTTTTTCTCTTGTTTGACAGTTGGTCCTGTAGCTTAGCATGCCTAGTACTTTTTTTATTAATTGTAGAACATTGTTAATGAGAAGTTGTAGAGGCTCTGTAGGATATTAACTTTTTCTAGCAAGTATTTCTTTTTTTTTCTAGGAGGCAGTTAGAGAAGAGAGATTGAGATCATCTGGGGCCAGTGCTGGACACACATACATCTTGGTCTCTTCCAGGCTGCCCTCGAAGGCCAGCAGAGCCCTGGAGATGTGGGCATAGAAAGTGGCCTTCCTGCTGTCCTACTGCTGGAGAGGCCACCCTCTGTGAGTAGCTGTTTTATCCTTCCCCTGAGGCCCTGCCCTTTCCTGAGACACCCAGTGGACCGCTGTGTTGCCCATAGCTCCCTTGGCCACCCCTGGTCCGGCTACAGTGGCCCCCTCACAGTCTCCCACATGCAATGGGAGCTCCCCTCACTGACCCTCTGTCCAAAGAGCTCCCCTTTCTAACAGGTCTGGGATGCCTTTGCCCCACCCACCTGGCAGGGGGGAGGAGGAACTGTTCAGACCCTGAAATAGGTCCCTGGGGACGGGGCAGTAGAGACTGGCAGAGATGAAACCCGGGAGGGAACTCAGGGGCCTCTCCTAGCAAGGGTCTCAGACTGGGGTTTCCAACCCCTTAGCAGTGGGGCTGCACTTCTGCAACAAGAAATTACACTTCCATTTTCTTTCCTAAAGGGAAAAAGGAAGAAAGCAACAAACCTGATGAGCATTGTGACGTATCACTTCTCTGAACCGCAGCCACAGCTGCCATCCCCAGACCCGCCCCAGCCTAGACCCACTTCCTCCCGAGAGCTCACAGCTGCAGTGCCGGAGTCAGATGTGACCCTGGAAATAAGGTAGATGGGGGTCAGAGACTGGAACTCACAGTGAGAGGAGAAGGCCTGATGGGACTGGGAGGGGGCCCCTGCTGGCTCCTCGCCAGGCACATACCCCAGAGAGTCTTCCTCTGAGTTTCCGCTTCCCCGGAACAACTGGGGTCCTGGAGCAAAGAGAAGGCCTCTGCAGGGGCTCTGCGCCAGCAGGGGGATTTCTATCAGCTCTGGAGGACTCAGCAGAGCAGAGAGTAAGGTCACAGGAGCAGTGTTGAATGCTTCTTTTCTGAGGGATTCTCTTAGGGTCCCTGGGCCGTGGGATTGGTTCCTGGAAGTGAGCACTGAGCTCCTGGCCAGGCCTGAGGACTTGGCCATCCAGCTCAGCTCTCCTGGGCCTAGTTTACACACACCTCAGGGAAAGGCTTTCTGCAGGCTGGGGCAAGAAGCGGGGTGTGGTTGTGGTGTGTCTGTGTGGGGCTGCGTGTGTGCACGAGAGAAAAGGGCATGCCCTAAGGGCTCTGCACTCACTGTCAGATTGGGAGGTTCTCACCATTACTTCACCCAAAAGATAGGGAGTCCAGGGTCTGGAGGGACTTGGAGCCTGTCCCACCGCCTTCAAGGACCAGACTCTCATGTGGGGTCTCTCTGGACTTGATTTCCCATGATTTTCACGTGTGTGAGCCTCTTCTCATTTAGCCGTTTGGCAGGTGTGCCCCCAGACACTTGCTGTGGCCAGGCCCCGTCTGGACCAGGCAGTGGGACACAGGGCATAGAGGCAGCTCTGCCGTCGGGAGGCCTCAGGGAAGAGAGGAGGAGAAGAGCCCAGGGAAGGTGGGGCAGGGACCCACATAACTGACACATAATGGAAAAGGGACCGAATGGGACAGCCCCGGGGGGGAGCCTGCTTGTTGTGAGGGTCTGGGCGCAGAGAGAGGAAAAGAGCTTCATGGAAGAGGTCACCTTTGAACCGGGCCTTGAGCAGTTTGGGAGAGAAGATGCATTCTCAGGAGAGAAAATACTGGAAGCAAAAGCCTGGTGCTGGGAAAGTGTACATTTAGTTATTCAGATCCACTCGGTCCTTGGTTCCTGTAGAAGGTGTTGGCATGTCCTGGGCCATGTGGGGTTGGTACAGGTGCCAGAGAGTTTATGTTCCTCAAATCCATGCAGGAACAGAGCCTTCCTGCATGTGCCAGTGAGATTCTAAAGGACAAATTTCTAGAGATGGAGTTAACAGAGGCAAGTGACATGTGCATTGCGCATGTATGGCCAGTTGACCTCTGTGGAGCCCCATCAGTTCTGAGAGATCTCAGCTCTTCCCAAGTTCATCACCGGCATCTGTCTTCTGCCCCAGACAGTGAGGAGGGGATGCTTGTGGCATTCGCATGCACAGGAGCACTTAGAATGTGCTAGATGTTTTTGTTCTTCCTTGGGGTCTCCAGGCAGCCTTTCTGATCCCCCAGGAGCAGGCGGGGGTCCCCTCTTCTGTGTCACTCCACAACGCCGGGAGCTAGAAACCCCTTCTCCTTTCCCAGCTGGGTGTTCCCGTTGATCAGCTCATCCCCGGCCACTGGTCAGCGCCTGGCTCAGCGGAGGGCTCGGCAGGCAATCGTTGTGTGACTGTCGGATACAAGGAGGGTGGATCCTACCTTCCGTCCTTCCCTTTCCATGAGGCAGGGCCAATTGTCCCCAAATGCCAACAGGCCACCCAAACCCCACCACACAGGCTGGTATGCCTTGGACCTCGCACAGACAAGGATCGACATACCTACGTCACAGAAGAGAGAACTAAAGTTTGGAGAGTGAGTAGCGTGCCTCACTCAGAGTGTGTTAGGGATGAAGCTGAGGCTAGAAGCAGCGGGCCTGAGCTTCCACACCAGCTCTGGCCGTGGCTGCAGCCTGGCTGGAGCAGAATGACTGCATGGACGTTCAGTGCCCGGCCCTGCTTGGCCAGAGGTGGCTGGGAGCCCCTGAGGTGGGCAAGAATGTCTGGGCTCAGGGAATCACAGAGGAGTGTCTGCCTCCACCCACGCCTGTGTGTCTGTGCTCCGTCTTTCTTAGGCTATCAGCCATGGAGAGGCCCCTCACGGTCCTGCGGGTGAGCCTGCACCACCCCACGCCAGGCCCTGCCACCTTCGCCAACGTCCCTCCGCAGCTAGAGCACGACACCAGCCCACTGCTGGTGGGCCGGGGCCCGGATGCCCACCTCCGGCTGCAGCTCCCTCGCCTCTCCCGCCAGCACTTGTCACTGGAACCCTACCTGGAGAAGGGCGGTGCCCGGCTGGCCTTCAACTTGAAGGCTCTGAGCCGCAAGGGCTGCGTGTGGGTCAACGGGCTGACGCTGAGGTTCCTGGAGCAGGTGCCCCTGAGCACCGTCAACAGGGTCGCCTTCTCTGGCATGCAGATGGTGGTCCACATCGAGGGAGGTACCTCCCTGGAGGCCTTTGTCTGCTGCTTCCACCTCAGCCCCTCACCCCTGATTTACAGGCTCCAGGCTGAGGAGAGCGACGAATGGGAAATCATCCCCCAGGAGCAGCCTCCCTCAGGTTCAGGGCAGCAGGCTCCGGGTCACCTGGGGTTTCTCGACAGCCCTTCCCAGCCCAGCCCTGGAGGAGCACCAGAAATACAGCTCCAGAGGGAGCCCCCAGACAGTGCACTCTGCTAGCCCCGCCGGCCACGCCGGAGGAAGCCTTAGCTGAAATGGGGCTTGAAATAGTCAAGCTACATCATGCAAGGTTGACAAGCCAGGCCTGCCGCGTAATAATGAACCTATTCTGCAAGCATGAACCACCAGGGGTGAGGGGAGTGCCCTCCACATCCACAGCTATGCAAGGTAACAGGAACTTCATATACTTTTAGAGGCCCTGAGGGGTTCTGGGAGCCTCTCTCAGTGTTTCCCCACATTTCCCCCTCTCGTCTGACTAGGAGTTACTTTATGTTGCTAATTTTGTGTGCCGCTTAAGAGCTGGAGTTTGAGGTTGCACCAGGAATGCATGGACACATGTAACAATTACGTTTGTGGTAGCTTGGGGTTACCTTGGGCTTTCAAATACCCACAGGCACTCGGGGCTTAGGGAAGCCTGTGTTTAATAAACTGCAAGTATTTCATTAAGCTGGCATACCCAGTAGGATTCCCTGATCCCCAGATGGGCCGCCTGTACGCCACATCGTCATGCAGAGGCAGGGGCGGGAAATAGAGAAGAGGTGTAAGAGGAAATTGGCAAGGCGGGGGCTCACGGTTCTGAAAAGGATGGAGGTAGAGCTGAGGGCTTCCTGGGGATGGGGAGCTGGGGGCTGGGCCTGCCAAGAAATTCATCGTCACTGTCATTCTCTTTATCCTCACGCTCCCCCACTCTCACTTCTGGGTCAAGGCCTTGGCTGACCAGAGGGCAAAGGTCTTCAGGGGAAAGTAGCTTCCCAGAGCAATGGGCTCTTCCAGGACTAATTCTATGAGAGGGCAGGCTGGGAGGTTGTGACAGAATACAGTTCAGCAGTTATTTCCCTCAAGGGTGGGTCATATGCCAATGGGGGTGGACGAGTGGGGGATGGAGAGTGGGCTCATTTTCTCAGGGCATGTTGGGAGGTATGTGCTGGGGAGCTGAGCCCAGGCAGCCACGCTCCATGCCATCCCAGGGAGGGGGAGTGTGGTCTAGAAACCATGCTCACCTGTGTGATGAAGGGAGGGACCTCAGACCTGGATGGTTGCCACCAGCCTGGACCCTGCTGTACGATATCCAGGGCACTGAAGCTGCCCACTAGCTGGCTCACATCCCACGGTCTGTAACCACCTCCAACAAGGCTTTCAACACTCCTCACTTCCCGCCCAAGAAGAGAGATCCTTTTGCACCCAGGGTAGGCTGCAAGGAAGTTCAACCGCACTGCCAGGCCTGAGCATCTTCTCCTTGGGGAAGATAGCAGTGGGCAGGACCCAGACTGCCCAGACTTGGGAAGATTCCATCCGATAGGGAACGAGGCAGATACACTCAGGTCACAGCCACAAAGCAGAGGAGGGCAAGGGATGTGAGAAGAAGGGGCTGTCCAAAGCTGTGAATGGCCCATGGGGCCACCAAAGCAGTCCTTCATTCAACTTTCACCAAGCACCCACCTTGTACCAGATGCTGTACAAAGCCCGGGGAACCAGCAGTGGACAGGTTGACTAAGGCCCTGCCCTCAGGGAGTTTACTTGGGACTCAGGAAAGACATGAATTCAGGAGACGGTCACTGTGGGCAGTGCTAGACACATTGTGTTTTCTCTCTCTTCATGCTGGTGTTAACCTCAGCTCTACTATTAAGTGGCCGTGTCTGGTGAGTGCTTACTATGTATTCCACGCTCTGCTAGGTGCTGTGTACATTCCCCCATTTAATCTCCACAACGCCCAGATAGACAATGGTATTAACCACATTGTACAGATGAGGAAATTGAGGCTCAGAAAAGTGAAGTATCTTGACCAACGTCACGCCACTCACTAGCTGTGTGATCTTGGGCAAGTGACTTAGGCTGCTTTGGTCTCTATTTCTCCTTCTGGAAAATGGGCAAGATGATAGCACCTCCCTCTGGAGCCCGCTGGGCTCCCCACTGGAGCCAGCCAGTGGGCTGTGAGGGTTTTAGGAGGTGGCACATATAGTGCAGCACCTGGCACACAGCAGCCACTCAGTAAGTATTAGCTACTATCGCGAGACCTGAGAGAGGGCAACATATAGGTCCCGACCCAAGGACTCACCTTAGACAGGAATATGGAGTGAGAGAAGGTTGGGAGCCTGGCGGGATGGCTCTGGAGCCTGAGGGCTCAGCCACACTCTGTGATTCCCTGATGAAGAATTTTGTCTTAGCCATGGACCTGGTGGGCAGTCAGGAGGGGGGTTATTATCGTGAACGTTGGCACCAGAAGGCCCAATATTCAGGGCTCGTAGAATGGGAGACACACGGTCAGGGCGGGTGAGCCGCAGAAGCCATGTGTGCTGTGGTCTGATGAAGCCCACTGTTTTGGGACTGCCTTTATTTTTCACACAATGATCCCTCCACAGACCGAAGTGCTCCCCAAACTATGCATTAGGGAGCAGCAGCCCTTTGCACGCAGAACGGAAAAGCCACTGCCTGAAGTCTAAACCTGAACGTCAAAGGCTAGAGAGAGGAAGCTGGCTGGTGGCTCCCCAGAGCCCCCAGGGTGCAGCTCCCCTGCTCCACCAGGGAACCTTTGCCATAGACCGAGAGTCCTCTTCCTTCCAGGAAGGGGCAAACCTAACCTAGCTGGGGGCCTATGAGAGGGAGCAGCCCACCTCCTCCCTGGGGGAGTCTCTGACTTGGGGTGAAGTCTGGGAGGCCCTCTGGGCCCCAGGATGGACTGTGCAGCACGCGGGAGGAGGGCAGACCAGAGACAGGGCAGAAGGGAGCCGGGAAACACCCAGCTTGTTGTTTCAGACTCTACCTGTTCATAAAGTCCCCTCCGGAAACTCACTGCCTGCCTCATACACGTTTCCTAAACAGCAAAGCTCCACTCCATGCAGGGCTCCATTTTTCTTCGGTAGAAAACCATTTAAATCACCAGACCCCAGCACCCACCCTCCAATTCTCGCCCAGAAGCTAGAATTATCAGGTTGGCTTCAGGCCCTGGTCGGTGAACTTGATACCCCTTTCCTTTGCTGCTCAGACAGACTGAGCAGGGCAGTGAGTCCCTCTCAACAATGCCCTCTGCATTCCCTCAGCTCGCATACACAGGGCGGCCTATGTGGCTGAGGGGTGTACACGCACACGCACACGCACACGCACACGCGCGCGCACACGCACACGTGCTGTTGTGGTTCCGAGCAGGGGCTCTGCAGTCAGGCTGCTGCCTGGGTTAGAATTCTTGCTCCACACTTACTAGTTCTGAGATCTTGGACAAGTGACTGAAATTCCCTGTACCTCAGTTTCTTCTTCTGGGAAATGGGGAAGATAACAGCTTTGAGAAGGTGAAATGAGGCCCTGCACACAAAGAACCTGGTTTGGTGTCAGGCACACAGGAAGTGCTCCATAGGGTTGCTTTCATTGTTTGATTTAGTGGAATGAATTGAATGCATATAGACACATGGACTCAGCTCACACACACACACACACACACACACACACACACGCACACACATCTGCTACAAAGAGCTACATCAATTACATTCAGGCATGCCCCAGAGCGCTACAACTCTCTGAGAGGACATCTGGAAATTTAGAAATCATTCCCTGTGCCCTTTCAGGCATTATAACCCCACATTCCTCTGCTCTTCTAAGAATGGGAGTCCCCCCGACCTGTCTGTGAGTCACTGCGTTCGCCTGAGCCCCGTGCGGAGGGAGACACGAGAACGCTCCTTCAACAACCCCAGCGTGGGGCTCTGAGGCACAAAGAAACGCCGTCAGGTCGTGGCGGCAGACTCCTCAGACAGCGCAGTCCTGGCCACAGCCATGCACGGTCGTCCTCTCCCGGCACCGGAACGCTGCGCACACGGTTTCCATGTCTCTCTCCCTGTGAGACACCAAGATCCACACAGACAAGGACCCTGGGTGGTTTGCTGTTGTATTCCTGACGGCCATCACGGAGCTGGGCAGAGCCAGGATGGACAGACAGGCACGCGTGGTCAGGGAAGCAGTCACCTTGGCGGTGCTAGGGCTCGAGCCAGGCTTCTCGGGGCAGGCGAGGGCAGGGCCAAGGCCTGCAGTGGGGGGCAAGAAGCAGGCCGGCCCTCTGGGGCAACAAGGCCGCAAAGCTGAGGGCAGACAGTAAGTCTTACCTGCCGTAGGCCTCTGTCGGGGCAGCCCAGAACCTTTGGCTGGGGCAGAACAAGGCTGGTTCTTCTGCCTAGTTCTTGAGACTCTGCAGCCCAAACTCAACCCAAACTCTGGGTTTTTGGAACTCGGTGTGATGACTACTGAGGAAGGCTGACAGATTTGACAGGGTCCCACATCACCAAGAGATAGCTCTCGGCCAGCACTTCCTGCCCCAAACAGAGACACGTCGGTGTCCCCAGGAGACCCTGGGAGGGCTCCCAGCCACAGCCATCAGGGCTCGGGCTGGCTGGATTGAGTCTGGGCCTGTGGGCCACAGAGACCGCCTACCCCAAACATACACTAGGAGCACACAGCCTCCCTGAAACAAGACTGTCTCTTAAAGAGATTTCCTGTGGTATAGGATGCTGAGATCTGGCCCTGCTAGAGGCATCTGCATTTTCAAAGAAAGGATTGGAGAGGGCAATGCCTACCCAGTGGAAAGAGCGACATTGAAGTTTTCACCGTAGGCTGATAAAGGAAACGTTTTCCCTTTCCCCTCAAATCGAGGTTACTTCGTAAACGTGAATAAGACAGAGTTAAGGGGCTAGCTCAGGGTTGCCCTGTGACCAGAGAGAGCTGAGACACGAACTGGGAAGGGATTCTTTCCCAGCAGCCCACTGAGTGGCCAGACTGCAGTCAGCAAAGAGATGTGCAAAAGCAAGGGAGCCCCCATGCCAGGTGAATGGTTCGTTGCTGCCTCCATAACCTCCTCCCACCGCCGGACTGGGCCGGGAGACCTGCCTCCTGCTGTAACTGCTACGTGAGTCTGGCTGTCCAGCTTTGCTCTGTGTCCTCTGCTTCCTCTGCTTCCGCTCCATGGCGTCTGCTGGTACTGGTACCTCCATCAGGTGAGTGGGTCTCTGAATCACTGAGGCAGCTTCCCCTCACTGAGGCAGCTCTCCCTGCACCCCGTGTCCCAGTCACGCACTACCACACCAGGCCCCGAAGCCATGCAAGGAGGAGCTAGGCCAGCTCCTCCACCTTTAGGAGGAGATTTCGGGGTTAATCAACTCTATTCACGTTGCAGGTTGTGCTCCCTCTTACCTTGAAAGTGAACTCACAGGCGGATTAAAGTGAAATAAAATCTACCATTTGAGTTACATTCTCAGCTGATTGGAAACATGCATTACCTCCCCATGACCGGGCCGTGAGAAGGGAAGTTATCTCTGTTTAGAGTTTGTAAACTCTTTAGAGCAGAGGCAGCTTTAAAGCTGCTGGGGGAAAAAAATGATCCGGGAATAAATTGCTCTCATTTACCTTTGTTTTCCAATCATACGCTCCAGTGGGAACAAAACAGCCTAAGCGAGTGGATGTGGGGAGCCAGGTGATCCTCAACAGAAGAGTTTCATTATTTCCTTCTTTAGGCACATGAGTTGAAAGGGCTTTAGGTGCCATTTGGCAGGGGCCTTGCACCACAAAAATGTGTGTCCCGCAGTAATGTCAGCATCCTTGAGCTGTTTCTATCTCTGCTTCCACTTCCCCGTGACACCCACTTCTTTAAGGGGCACTATCACCAGAGTGTGCAGCTCCAGACGTTTGGGAACAAGAAACAAGGAGTCTGAGAAAGGGCAGATGGGAATCAAAACCAAATCACAGTCCAGGGAGGAGGGAGAAACCGTGGGGTCTGGGGTTCTGGAGGGGGCTTTCCTTCCCCTCTGTTCTCCGATCCTCTCTGCGTTACCTAACACAGAGCTTACATAGAGCAGGTACTAGGCAAAGCCATCAGGACGCCCCAGGCTCTGAGCCAAGCACTTTAACTGCTGGAAGGAGCCCCAGCTGGGATGTCTGCCTCACTTTCCTTTAAAGATGTGCACGCTGGGGGGAGGGGGCGGGGAATCTTCAGAATAAAGCAGAGACGGGGGCCTTTGGAGGGAGAGCTCAGCCAGGCAGCCAGCCATGGGGTTTCCATCATTGCTTCTCTGAGGGATGGGGATGCCGTGATGTCACTCTTTCGTTCACCTGCAGCTTGCCGCAGATGGGCTAGGAAGATGGACCCTATTAGGTCACCTTGCCTGTGGGGCAGGTGGGGTGACGGTGGCCCGGAGTATATCAGTCAGGATCCAGTCAGGAAAAAAAAACACTCTAAGTATTTCAAAAATTTGGTTCAGTGAATTGGGTATACAGGTGATAGAATCGCCGAAAAGCCACACAGGCAATGCCATTCAGAGTTCGGCAAGAGCAGGAAGTACTACCACGGCTAGCTCCCACCCCTGGGGCTGCAGGGGCACCTGTGGAGACCGTGTTACCAGAGCGGGTGCTGGGGGGCACAGAGCTAGAACCACCCGTGAAGCTGCGACCTCGGAGGCAGAGGCCATCCAGCGGGAGCTGGAGCCACAGAAGAGATGCAGCTGCTGCCAGACTCCCCCCAAGGTGCTGAGAGAGAGAGCAAACTATCCTGGCTTCTCCCCTTTCCTGGCCCCAGTGGCCGAAGCCGGCCCGAGGCGTCTGAGGAGCAGCCTAGGAGATGCAGCCTGCAGGGATGACTCCCCGAAGTACAGAGCCGAGGAGGGAAGGGGGAGCGCGGGCTCTGAGGGCAAACCGTCAAACCCAGCACAGGGAGTGTGCCCACCTCAGTGCCCTCAGTCCCAGCCTGAAGCCCTGGGGTGGCTGCCAAAAATGGAGCGGAGATGGGAGGGGGACGCACAGCACAGAGGGCTCCGCGGCTCAGGGGCCTCCCGAAGCCATAGGCAAACACAAATCCCCCTCTACCACTGTCATCCCAGCCTGTATGACCTTCAGCACCTGTAAGAAAGGAAGGGAGAGGGCACAAAGGACAAGTGCAGGACAGTGAGGTACAGATGTGGCCTGGCCTGGCCCGCACCGTCCTGCAAGGATGTCTGCTTTGATCCTGCAGCCCTCCCCTCCCTCCTGAGAGGCAGGGCAGCAGAGCAGGGTCCACATCCCCCCTGCCCTTCACTTACTGACCCTGAGACTTCATTTTCCAAGCCTCTTTTCCTCGTGTATAAAGTGCGGATACTATTAGTACCTACCCCACCTCTGTGAAGACTGAAACACACAACCTGTACGGGATCTCAGCACCTACCTTGGAAATGCTCAATAAATGCCACCCATTTCTATTTTTTTTTTTTTTTTTATTGTTGCGCGGTATGTGGGCCTCTCACTGTTGTGGCCTCTCCCGTTGCGGAGCACAGGTTCCGGACGTGCAGGCTCAGCGGCCATGGCTCACGGGCCCAGCCGCTCCACGGCATGTGGGATCTTCCCGGACCGGGGCACGAACCTGTGTCCCCTGCATCGGCAGGCGGACTCTCAACCACTGCGCCACGAGGGAAGCCCCCATTTCTTATTTAACAGGAACAACCACCCATCCCCAAATGCTCTTCCCTCCAGAAAGCTTCCTTGACTTGTTCCCGCAAAGAGCCAGCTCCTTCCTACCTCCAAACCAGTGTTGGGACACCCAGAGCGGATTTGCAGGCGTGATCCACGGAACAGAATGTACTTCCTTAGCCGGGCCTATGGGTACTTGCTGTGTGCTCGACATCACGCCGGCACTGCCCCCTAGCAGAGCCCTGGGGGTGGCGGAAACTGTCTGCAGGTCGAACAACCACCCGGCACACAGTAGGTCCTCAGTAAGTGTCTGTTGACTGTGAGGAAGAATTTGGAGGGGGTGAAAGCAGACCTTCAGGGAATGAGGCTTTGAGAAGCACATCACACCACAAGAAGGATGCTGGTTAAAAGGTTAACGTGCACTTTAAAAAACTAACTGATCGGAATGAGACGAGGCCGGCAGGTTTTTCTGTTTCTAGACGAGTCCCGTCTCCGTGGTGCAACACAACCACCCTACCCTTCACCTCTTGGAAACACACGCACGAGGCACAGGGCTCCCACGCTGGAGCTCTGGCCCGAGAGCCCTGGAAGCAGGCAGGCTGGACGCCTGATGTCGGAGGCTTCCAGCACCAGTGCTGGGCCTCATTACTGAGGAACACATAGTCCCCTGTGGCACTCGCCGGAGGGCTCCGTCTTTCGTCTTTCGGTTTTACATTCCTCTTCCCCGGGGCCTGCGGTTGCTGTGCAGACTTCAAGCTGCAGTATCAGGAAAGCCTCATGCGGTCTGACGTCTTCCCCAACACGCACACGCACACGCACACGCCTGCCTCTGGGCTTTGTCAAGCACCCCAGGTAAAGTGTTGGTTAGAAAACCATGGGGTAATGATGAGCTGTGAGTTTTGCTCCTTAAAAGCAAAAGTTAAAGTTAGAGAGAAGATACCTCCACTTGAGATTCTCAGCGTGCTTTGCAAACCAGAGTGAATAT